TAAAGAATAAAATAAAAAAGATATAAATAAAATAACAAAGAGTAATATAAAAAGAAGATATGTTGAAAATGAAACGAAATCAAAGATAAAATAAATAAAATTAGGTATGCTTTGGGTATGTAGAATGGTTGTTGCCTGACTTCTCTCAGCCAGGTCACGATCTTATGTAGTCCGTAGTTCGAGCCCCACAGGCCAGGGCTCTGGCTGATGGCTCTGAGCCCAGTCAGTTTCCCATTCTCAGCGTTCTCCCTCTCTGGCCCTCCCCTGTCTATGCTCTAATCTCTCTCTATCCTAAAATAAAAATGTTGAAAAAAATTTAAAAATAATAAAATAAAAATAAAATAAAATAAAAATAAATGTGGTTGTTCCGGTCGAGGCTCTGGTACCTATTAGAAACCACAGAAGCTGCCTACTACAGGATTAGTCTGGCACTTCTCTAGCATCCTGGATGACAGAGTACATATTAAACTGCACGATGAATCAGTACACTAGGGTTGTGCATAGCTTCCCACTCAGTTTGGGCCTCCCAGACCTGAGACGAGACTCCAAGCAGCTACTGGGGAGTTGGAGCAGGAAAGTGGGGACACAGGGAAACAGAAGGACAGGGAAGTGTCTTCTACGGAGTGTGTTTCCAGAATATACCACCGATTCCCTGGGAATCTCCTCGGAGACAAGAGGGCCATGGTATGTTCTCTCCGTGAAGTCTTCCTGTGGGAGAGACAGAGCTGCCACGCCTCTGTGCAATGGGATGGGACCCAAGGGATGGAGGACAGTGGCTTTGGGACAGGGCTGTGTCACCATTCAAATAAGGCAGATTTGATAATTGTGTCTCCTGCATAGTCAGTTTGCCTTCATTATCCTGTGCATTTGATGCACCTGGGCACATTCAGAAGGGATCCACTGGCCTCACCAAATGCTCAGGATCTCCTGGGCACCATTAAAGGAAGAACCAGCTGTGGCTTTAGAAAATTCTAGAGGAGGTGCAGGCAGCTCCTCCCGATGCTACTCTCCGGCAGATCCCAGCTGGGAGGTCATAAGGCTAAGGACCATGAGAG